GCTGGGGACACCTTGGGCAGAAGACCTGGGGATCTGCTTCTGTAGGATTCCAGCCAATGACAGTCCTCCTTTGGGACACAAGTCAGGTCTGACACCGACGGGGTCAGCATGGGTCAGAAGAGCTTCCAGGGAATTGGTTTGTTGTTTTTTTTTCTAATTTGTCATTAGAACTGGGGAGTATGGAGAATTGGAGTGGGGAAAGTCTGTTAACCTCATAAGTACTGTCTCCTGCAAGCATACATGCTGTTAATTCCATCAGGCACAGGTGCTGTTTGGTTCACGACGGTTATCTACTTGGTTAAGAGTGAACTTTTCAGTAGTTGTGGATATGTTCTAAGAATAAGCAGTCATTTCCAGAAGGATGCGTGGCCCAGGACACAGACGTGGCCACTGCTGGTGTTGACTTGACAGCCTTCTTAGGGTTCCCCCAGAAGCTCTTTGATTGGTTACCATTCTCACTTCCCAAATGAGCCCCTAGGCAGAAGTGGTGTGGCCGCCATAAGCCACGGCTGTGAATAACGACACTGATGTTGACCCCGGCCTTCCGGGAATTAGGATGTGCTGACCGAGCTGGTTTTCTGCCGCTGGACTCCTGTGTCCATTGTCAGTTTGGAGTCATGATGAATTTGTTGGTGCTGTTGAGTCCGTTTATGCTCATGCTGCTGTTGTGCCCTCAAGCTGACTGCACTCACAGTGGCCTCATGGACAATAGCTCTGAACCCTGCACTGTCCTGAGCCAGCCTCACCATCTGTGACACACCCGACCCCACTGTCGCTGTCGCTGTGCCAATCTCTATCACCCAGGGTCCTCCTCTCCTGCACCGACCCTCCACCCTTCCAAGCATGGTGTGCTTCTCCGAGGACTGGCTTCGCCTGACCCCCTGCCCAAAGTGTGTGATCCGTGTAATGTTTTTCTTAAAACATCTGCAGTTATTTGTCTAACTGAAAACCGAGCTCCTTGCCACTGAGTCAGTTTCAGTGCATAACAACCTCACCCAACAGGACGGAACTGCCTCGTAGGATCTCCAAGACTCTGCTCAATGTGCCAGCCCTGTGTTTCTCCCAGGGGCATTCCCTGGATTTGAACCCCCACCGTTTGGCTAGAGGCTGAGTGCTTCACCACTGCAGCCTCGAGGCTTCGGCCTGGTCTTTCTAGTACTTGGTAATTTGTTTTCAGTTTGCATTAGAACTGGATTGTGTGGAGTTGAGTCCATCAGAGACCTTGTTAGCTGGCTCGTGGTGACGCTGCGGCATAGGAAGTGCCCACGGGGTTTCTCAGGTTGTGCAGAACCAGGCGTCTCGGCTCTCTCCCACGGAGCAGCTGATGGGTTCGAATCCCCACCCTCCACCTTTTGATCAGCAGCTGAATACTTAACCACTGCGCCACCAGGACTCTTGGCATATTTGTTTTCTTCTTGTTGTTATATATTGAAAGGTTGAAATCGACCATTATGGGTGAATCTTGCAGGATCTTGATTCCCCGGGCCAGAGTCCTTCAAGCCTAGTGCCCACACAGGACCAGGGCAGTTATTACCCTCTCAGCAGTGGAGGGCGGTGCTATAAAGCTGCGGATGCCTCGCCCTGCACTCCCTGTGACCAGGTGTCTCACTGCTTCCCCAGGGCGGCCAGGCAGTAGGCTTAGCTGACCTTGGAGACCAGGGGAGCCCCTGCTACAGGCCCAGGCTGCACAGTCAAGGCTGTGATTTCTTGCCTTTGAATTTTGACAAGGTCCCTCAGAGGCCCATGGGAGGGGCTGAGTGTGGGGGTGACTGAGTGGTGTCTGTGGTGGTAGGTGGTGTGGGCGGGCTCGTGGATAGCCGGGGTGTGGGGGATGGATAAGCAGGGCCTCGCCCCCGCTGGGGATGGATGGACAGGACTTCCTGGCAGGTTTTGAACCTACAGGAACCCGGACACACGTGTGCTGGCTCTGGCACCTGGAGACCCTCAGGGGACACTTAGAGGTCCTGAAATGCTCCTGCCTCTTCAAGGCCTGTTCTGCGCTGATTGTAACAGATGCATTCAGGGGCTCGCCTGGGCCCCTTGGGCTCTTTCTGAGGACACTTGCAGAAGCTGTGAGGCCGTGGAGGGGTCTGCCTGCAGCCCCCAGAGTGTTACAAAGGTCAGTGCAGGTAAGAGAACAGAGACCTCTCCCCCAGACATGCCCGCTGCTGGAGGACTGGAGCCTGGAGCCTGGGTGGCTCAGACCCCACAACTCTCTGGGAGTCAGTGTAGGGGGTCTTCCCTAGGCTCACCTCACTTTGTTGTGCTTTGCAGATAGTGCAGTTTTAAGACAAGAGGTGAAAGGTGTGGTAACTCTGCATTGAGCAGGTCCATGGGCGCCATTTCTCCCAAGCGTGTCCACTTCATGTCTCAGCATCTTGTTTGGTCATTCTCACTGCGTTTCAGCCTTTTTCATTGTTTCATTGCCTCATCAATAGACTACAGGATACTGGACCCCTGGCTTTGATGTTGTTGTTAAGTGCCGTCGACTCGCAGGCGACTCATAGCAACCCTATGAAGGAGAGTCCTCGACGCTTGGGTGCCTTTCATCCTCTCTCCAGGTTCATAGGGTTTCTGGAGGCAAGCTATTATGGAAGTGGACGCCACTCCTCCTTCCATGCTTGTTTTAATCGGGGAGCTCCTCCCCACTCTCAGTCCGCATTGGGTAACCAGCCATTAATGCATTTGACACACCAGTGTCACAGTGTTCAGCCTCACAGCAATCACAAGTGACCACAGTACGGCAACTTGTACACCAGGGCTATACGACCTAGAGGAATGTCTGAACAAAAACAATTAAAGACAGGCCCGAGGGCCGCGGATTAAAAGTCGCCTACCTTTGGCTTGGCAGCATCGCCTTCTGTCCACTGGGCCAGCCCTGGCTTTGCTAGCCACTGGCAAACCCCAGAATGGTGAGGCTCACTTTGTTGTAATACCCACTTAGTTATTCTGGTCTGCAGCCAAGTCTCTGAGGTGCACCTGTGAATAGTGTTTGAACCCGTGACTGTCTGACACGCGTCATTGTGAAGATGGGCCTCCAGGTTCTGTCCCACGCTGTCATTGGGTTCCAACCATCGCTCTAACTTTTTGGTTTGTTTTGGTTTTGCTTGTGTTCAGTTCTTTTGAATCGTACTTTTTCTGTTTTGCAGATTTGCACGGCTCCAGAGCCTGCAGACCACAGGCGGCGAGGAGGTTCCTGAAATGACCGGGGCCGCAGACACTCCCCAGGCCAGCTGAGGAGGACACGTGTACACGCTGCAGGCCGGTCCCTTCTGCACCCCCACACCCTGTGCCCCCTCACACGCCCCACATCCGATGACAAGTCATTTGAGAACCAGATGGAGCAACCTGACGCAGCTGGGCTCGGGGGCCCGGGGAGAGAAGACCTTCGCTAGCAGCCAGCTGGCCGCACGATCTTCACGGGTCAAGAAGGTGTGCAAGAAAAAGAAAAAAAAAGCCGCCCAGCCCGAGTCTCCGGAGCACGTCGGGGGCGTGAAGGGGAAGGGGCCCTCGGCCAGCTGTGGGCCTGGCCCTGGGGGCGCTCGGTGCGGTGGGCCCCTCACCGTGGTCCTCGGTGACTCGGGCAGACGTTAAAACCCTGCACCGGAAGGTCCCTGTGCTGTGTGGTGACGCCTGCAGCCAAGCACGTCTAGGATGACAGGGCAAGTGTGAGCGGTAAACTCATGCCTCTGCCCTTTTCCCGTTAACCGTTCTGGAGAAATTGTAATTGATTATTCCTCCTCTTTCTCTTCTGAATCTAAAAGATAATAACCTACAGTATTGAAGTTGATAACTGCGAATCAATGTCCAGGGAAATCTGAGCAGAGCGCTCTTCTCTCTGGACAGTCTGTGGAGGGCTGGGAAACCATCTGATGTGACCCGTAAAGTGTCTGCCAACAGAACCGGGACGCAGGGACGCGGGAAGACGTGGACTTGGGTCTGGGTTTTCGCTTGAAAGACTGGTTACCCTCCTCGTCCAGGAAGATTTGGGTCAGATAAAATCACTTGATGGACTTAATCTCAAGCTCAGTGTTTTTCATCTAAGTGGAAACTACGTGATTGTTAGAAGGAACAGAGGGGCAGGTGACCAAGAGGGAGGAAGGAGACGGAGGAAGAAGCTGGAGGACCGAGGAGCTGTCCAAGGTACATTCTCACCCTCAGAGAGCGCCACAGCCATTCCGAGTCTGCTTGGAGCAGCATCTGTGTCACAGGTGCAGTGGAGGGGCCACCAGCAGGCGGGACAGCAGGTGCCCACGGGACAGAGCCTGGCTGTGGATCAGAAAAGCCAGAGCATCGCGGGGAGTCGGTGTGGAACCAGGGGTCTGCGCTCCTGTTGTTGGGACTGCTGTCTGCGCAGGGCCTGGTCTGTCGCGTGCCTTCTTCACCCCTTATGCAATCTTCAGCTAGTGCAGGACAGCGCCGTGTCGTTCAGAGGACGGCTCCGCGGTGACCGTAAGAGAAGGGCGATTGGGGCGTGCTGTCGCTGCATCGAATCTCCAGCCAGAGGGATTCATAAAGCCTTAAGTTCCTTGAAATCTTACATATTTGCATCCTTTTGTCTCTGGAATCCCATCCCACAAAACCGGAACTTCAGCTTGAGGAGGTATCACTAGGGTGAGAGAAGAGGCGACAAGTGGAGAGAGAGGACGTTTCTGGGTCCCCGTCACCACCTTGCCCCAAGGGTCACCACCCCCCTCCTCAAAGGACTTAGACACACACAAGGACTTAGACACACGCTTGCTCAGGCCTGGTTGTTTTTCAAGCACCACTTTTCCCCAGCGGATTGCCGCCGTCGTTTATAGGGGCCTTTTCCTCACTATGCATTTGGTGGAGCTTGGTAAAGATCAGACCTTCTAATTAGGTCCCGGTCAGTCTTCGTTGAAGGCGGCTGTGGGGAGCATTAGAGTTTCCTGTAGACGTAAGTAGTTCTTTGCGAGGTGTCAGGGGACGTTTGGTGGCGTCAGGTGCTGCTTTCTGAGCCAGCGTTGACCCGCACGCAATATGTTCGCCGCGGTGGAGCAGGGCCCTGTGCTGTGCAGCGACTCCAGCATCCTCTGTCTGTCCTGGAAGGGCCGGGTGCCCAAGAGCGAGAAGGAGAAGCCCGTGTGCCGGAGGCGCTACTACGAGGAGGGCTGGCTGGCCACGGGCAACGGGCGGGGCGTGGTGGGGGTCACCTTCACCTCCAGCCACTGCCGCAGGGACAGGAACACACCGCAGAGGATCAACTTCAACCTGCGCGGACACAACAGTGAGGTAAGCCTGCTGGCCGGTGTGACCTTTTCTTGGGTCGTTTCTGCGGGCGAGACACCCTCCTCCTGCCTCTGTGGGCCCAGAAATCCCCCCATGATCCTGCTGGAGAGGGTCAGGGTCCCCTCAGCGCCGGTGTCGCTGCTCCTCCCCTGCACGGTGGCCCCTCTCCTCTGGACATACCCACATGGTGGTGGGAGAGCCCTGGTGGGCTGCCCAGGAGCTGTGGTGACCAGGTGGGAGGTTGGGTAGACAGTCTGAGCTCACCTGTCCCCCTCTGAGAGCTGCTGGTGCTCACCCTGCTTCAGTTCATGGGTCCCTCATCTTGTGTTCATCTTATAACACCTGTGTTTCTCCAGAGACAGGTTAATACCTGGTTCACATTTCTTGTACCTGGAGGTAGACAGAATGTTTGGGGAGATGTGAGTGAAGTTGTTTGTTGGATCAGAGCTGTTGTGGTGCACACCTGTCTTGTCAGGTGTGTTTTGTAAGGTAAAAAAGGCACAGAGAACAGGGTGAAGTGAAAGAAAAGAGTTTATTAGTGGCTCTCGGGCAGATTTACTGTCTTGAGGCCAGAGAAAAGCAGGGTCAGGCAGCAAAGTTGCAAATGAGGAAATTACAGGGTAAACTTTACAGGTAGGTGTTGGGGGTAGGGTGGTCAGCCCGGTGATCAGTTCTCCGTGGAGGGTGTTGATTGGATGTCCTTTGTTCCTAACTATGGAGCTTCTTGATCATGCAAGATGTGGTTGGTGGTCGTGCTCTTTTCTGATTGGCCATTGTCACCTTACACCAGGCAGATTGGAATATCTCTCAGAAGGTGCGGTCAGCATGGAATGTTGCTCCGCTCCCAGGTGGCCTTTCATGTTTGATGAGGGAACTTGGGTTGTGTAGATTCCTATGGGCTGGTGAAATGCACTAGGTAGCATTTTCTGAAATTCACTCGCCATTTATTGAACAATGTGTAAGGTTGGAGAGAGCACTGGCCTTGATTGGTCCTGCCTGTTGGTGAGCCTGCTGTGTTAAGAGCTGAGAACCTGATGTAAGTTGCAAAGCAAGGTACCAACATCCATATTTCACTCTCCATTAGCTTATTTACTTTTTAAAAAAAAATAATTTATGATTATTTTATACAACTTAAAATATAAGATGGTTATCAAACAGCTATCATAAAGCAGTAGTGAAGAGCACTGATGTTGATTTGAGAACTTAAGGTGTGCCTGATTGAGGCCATGGTCTTTTCAGGCCCCTGCGATGCATGTAAGAGCTGGACAGTGAATAAGGATGACAGAAGAAGAAACAATGCCCTTCAGTTGTGGTGTTGGAGGGGAGTACTGAAGATCCCGTGCAATTCCATAAGAACAAACAAGATATGTCTTGGAGAAGATGCAGCCAGAGTGCTTCTTGGAGGCAAAGATAACAGAGCTTCGTCTAACTTTGGGCATGTTGTTGCTAGGAGAGGCTGTTCCTTGGACAGGACATCATGCTTGGAAAGGGTGAGGATCAGTGAAAGACAGGAAGACACTCAACGAGATAGGCTGACACACAAGTGATTGCAGCAGTGGCTTGAGTGTGTCAGAGATGGTGGGGATGGCACAGGACAGGACAGGGTCAGAGCTGCTGTTCATAGCATGGCTGTGAGTTGTACTTGGCGATACCTAACAACAAACATCATAAAACAGCAGGAATCCTTTTTATTTTTCCCCCCACCTTTGTATTTTTATTGGTATCCATATGATTACTCATCTATATTGTGTTCCTCCTGTGAAGTGGCTGGTTGGTTCAAACTGCTGGATTTTCAGTTTGCAGAAGCTCTGGTGCCTTAGTGGTACCGAATTGCACTGCTAACCAAAGGTATGTGGTTCGAATCCCGTAGCTCTTCTACGGGGGAGAGATGGACAGTCAACTTTTGTTTGATTCACTGTCACTGAGAACCCGCTGGAGGGATGGTTGTGGGTTGGCTCTGACGTGACAGCACACAGCAAGTCAGATTCTTTAATCACTGCACCACCAGGGCTCCTCTCTTGAAGTAGCTCAGTAAGACTCACACTCACCTGTTCTGACTTAGGTACACACACCGCTACAGACACGCGAGGGAACCGACCTGGCTGGTGCTGGGCCTGCCCGGACCACAGGCTCCCCATTTTCTCAGTGGGCGTTTGGGTTGTTCCAGGTTTGGACTCTTAGGACTGGAGATGCTGTGAACATGCTGCATTTGGCCTTTGCACAGCTGTGTACGCGTTGTTCTCGGGTGTGTTTCTGAGGTGGAATTTCTGAGTCACGGAGTAGCTGTGTGTTTAAGCTTTAGTGGAAATTACTGTACGGTTTTCCAAAGCGGTTGTGCCGTTCTGCACTCCCACCATCGTGGTGTGAAGGTTCAGTGGTGAGACGAGGAGTATTTCCTGAAATCCTCCCCACTCGTGCAGTTTACGAGGAAACGGCTTTTGGATTTGCACGTTGCCCCGTTTTAAAGCAGCTTGTTTTATGCAGGAAAGTGCTTCCTAGGTGCGCCTGTGTCTTTTTTTTTAAAATTATTATTAATTTTTGTGCGTGTACCATCAAATTGGATCTGACTGGTACAGGAGGAGATTCTCCCTCCTTCTCCAGCAGAGCATCTGGTGGATTCGAACTGTGCACCTCTGGGATTGTAGTGCAGCTTCTTGCTACTAGGCCACTGGAGCTCCCTGGTGCTGGTGTCTAACTGGGGCCATGGCACACCTGTGTTGCTGGGCTTCGCTTTACTCAACGTTGAGGGTTGCATGTGCTCTGCAGACAGAAGGGTTGTGGACGTCCTGCGTCGATGCCGTTTCACTGCAGCCTGAGCTCCTTGGGGTCTCTGGTAATGCTGATGATTCTTGCAGTGTTCCAGGCATTTTCATAAGGACGTTGTTTGCTTTTGACAGATTCACTCAAAACTCACGACTGGTGAGTTGGTTTCGACGCACAGTGACCCTCCATCCGGTGGGTTTCTGAGGCTGTAAATCAGAACAGAGGAGACTGCCCTCTTTGTTGGGTTGGCTGATATGCAGGCTCCATCCACTCTATTGCAATGTTCACTTTATTCTAACAATTCCCAATGGCTCTGAGATACACTGGTATATACATGCACCCACTAAATAAAATGTCTGTGTGTGTTAATCACATGACGTAGTGATCTCTGGTAGCGTAATGGTAAGGAGTTGCCAACCCAAAGGCAGGTGGTTCAAATCCTCCAGCTGCCTCCACAGGAGAAAGATGCTCCGTCTCCTCCTGTGTGATTTACTGTCTCTGAAAATCCACTGGAGGGTCAGCTATGAGTCCATTCCAGCTCAGCAGTAGAGACACGGGTTTTCTAGTTCTGTATCATCCATTGTGACAAACTTGGTGGCCTAGAAGAGCTTGCATTTATTACCTCACAGTTCTACAGGTCAGAAGTCCTGGCAGGTGTAGCCGCATTCGGCCGGGGCTGCGTCTCAGCTGAGATTTGAGGCCCTCATTACACTCGTTCAAGGTGCTGGCGGAATTCTGTTCCTTTCATTCCCTAGCTGGAGCCCTGAGCTCTTAGTGGCTGCCTGTGGTCTCCTGCGTCTGGCCCTCTCCGCCTCGGGGCAGTTCCGTCATGGCAGCGCTGCCCCTCCACCTCACAGCGACCCCTTCTTCGGAGCTAGCAGAATAGCATCTGGCAGCTTAACTTGACTCACCTTAACTTCTGTCTTTGAGAAAAGCTTTGCTGATCAGGTCAGCACACCCACACTCCACAGGCGGGCAGTGAGTCAGTGTTCACACCATGAGGTGCTGCTGCTTAGAGTTCCGTTTACCACAAAAGAGATGATTGGTTTTCTGAATCAGAAGCAACATCATCTGACAGAACCACTGACCTTCAGTTAGCAGCTGAGAGCTTCACCGTTAGCTGCCAGGGCAGGCCTGAGCCCTCCGCTGGCAGTGTCGATGGACGGTGCACAGATGTCTGTTCCTTCACTGGCTGAGAAGGGTCCCTGCTCCGCACCCGAGAGTCTCGGCCCTTGTGCCAGGAAGTGGGGTGAGGACTCAAGTCCAATACCTTCAGCATGTGTCTCCCACAAGCTGTGTGCTAGAGTAAAGATTATTTCAGAAGACAATGAAATAACTTGGAGTGGGTTTTTTTTGTCTGGAAGATGACATTATATGGTTGTTACTGATGTCATGCAAATGAGTCAAGGTTGGTGCTGATGGTCCCCAGGGGACATCTCTACACATCAGAGCAGATGGGTGGCCTCCGTGTTGTTCCTCACAGAGAGAAA